GTCAAGTATGGTTGGTAGGTCCTTGCTTGTTCACCGCCCTTAGCGTCTCTCCTCATGCAAACGTTTTCAGCTTTGATGAAATGCACTTTGTGGATTTTCCTTTTATGGGGTTGTGCTTCTGATGTCTTAGGAATCTTTCCCAGTTGAAGTCCCAGAGATGTTCCATGTTTTTTTCTAAACGTAGTCTGGTTCTGCATTTGACATGTAAGCGCATTCTCCATTTTGAGTCAATCTTCGGGGGCTGTAGTGAGCCCCTGGACGTCCTGTTATTCTAGCTCCAGTTTGTACAAGGGCTAACCATCTTCCTCTATGGAGCTGCTTTTTCACCTCAGAACTTAGAAAGCAGCTGACCATACTCGGCGTCCATTGACCATACTCGGCGTCCATCGTGTGTCCATTCCTGCACCAACAGACTTCTGTATTTATCGACAAAGCAAAAGAACTGCAAACCAAGAGGGTAAAGCCCCCCTTGATTCTAGACTATCAGCGTTGGCCCTTTTCCTTTAATTCCTGCTCTCACTTCAGAGGAATCTCCTGTTGGCTACAGAGCCGGTAGTGTTAGTAGTAGTAAGGTGAGCGAGCTCGTCATGCTGGGCATGGAGCTCAAAGCATAGGGTGAGCCCACACCTGTCAGGAGAGTCAAGCAGTTCTGCGTGAAGGAGGTAAATCCCACAGCAGAAAAGAATGCCAGCTCTGTGCTCGGAGGGGGCGTCCTGGGCTGTCTGTTATGTCTGGGGCTCTCACTGAAGGAGTCCAAGGGAGAGAGAGCCCTGCGTCTGGTGCCCCATGTGAGTAGGAGCCTCCTGGGGAAGTCCTGCGCTGCCCTCTCCGCCGTCTACTGGTCTCTCATCTCGGGCAGCATGAGGATGTGGACGGTGGTCCCAGGCCTGAGAGCCCGTCACCTTTGAGTGTATGAATGTGGCTCTCCACGTTGGACATGGCTCATGGTTCGGGCAGCCATAGCACTCCCATCTGAGAGAAAAGGAAAGTGACCGCAGTCTCAGAACGTGGACCTGGTTTGATCAAGTTCAACTTAAAAAAAGAGGAAGTGACAGGCTAGCAGCTGATTGGAAAATGAGTGGCTGTGGGTGCAGGTGCTCCAGGTGCAGCTCCATCACTGTTGTCGGCCTTCTGTGTGTGGGACTGAGCAAGTGGCACAAAGTCATGTTTCCTGAGCAGCACGGTGCAGCAGTCTGAGAACCTGCGCTGCTCTGTTGCTGCTGCATTAAACCCCAGCGTCCTCACTGCAGCACTTGGCATCTGGTCACTCCACAGATTGGTCCAGCAGTCTGTGGGCAGGTACTTGTTAAGTGTGGATTCTCATCCTCCCTGAATGGCTCATGCAGACAGGAAAGGGAAAATGGAAGCATTCTTCCTGGGGCTCTCGATGCCTTGGTGTCCTGTGCTTGATTCCCAGTACAGAAGGAGCTCAGTCAGTGCTTGGGTGGATGCATGCATGGACGTGTGAATAGATGAGTAGCTACAGGGTAGATGGAAAGTGGATGGGCTGACAGATGGATAGTTAGGTGAGTAGACGGATAGATGGTAGGTAGAAGGATGGATAAAGGAGGGGGGTGGATTGATAGATGAGTAGACAGATGGACAGACATCAACCATAGATGACTGGGGGATGGGTGGAGAAGAACAGGAGATAAATGGATAGGTGGACATGATGGATAAGTGGATACAGTACGCAATATATGCATGCATTTTACTTTATTTTTTATCACTATTTACCGCTGTCCCATTTAAGCCATGCAAACCTGCCTAAGTGTTCCCGTCTACCTTATACTTCATCCCCTCCCCCTTCTTGTGTATTGCCCTCCCCAGCATCTGAATTATGATTATGATGTGTCTTTCCACTATCCTCTGCATGCATTCTTATAGAATTAGAAACTGTAAACTCAGGTGTCTGCAGGTCAGTCTTGGTGGGGTGTGAGTGTCAAGGCCATCTGCTGTCCACGGTCGCTGAGGAGACGACGCACACATCGATGGGCAGTGGAGAAGGGTTTCATCAGAGGAAGGGGTGGTAGGAGGCCCTGGGGTGCTCTCTGTAGATTCAGGGTCCCTTGAAGGGACCAAACTCTGGAAAGTAGTGGAACATACAGAATCACCATTCTGTATGGCCTGGGGACAGGTGTCTGGGCACAATCTGTGGGGAACTGTGGTGGTCTCTGGGGTGGTGCAGGGCTCCCTGGTGCTTGTCTGTGGTCCTGCCCTCTGCTGCTATCGCTGGCCTTGTGCATAGCACCCAGCAGGGGGCACTGCTTATCACCTGGGTTGATGTGTCCTCACCACCCATCCCCCAGGGCCACCACAGTCCGCTACAAAGGCAGGAACCTGCGGATCAAGGCACCCATGTGTCGAGCCCTGAAGAAACTTTGTGACCCTGATGGTAAGTGGGTGGCTGGTCCGTGCTGGGAGAAGTGTCTACACCAGGGTTCAGGGCAGCTCCGCTCTCGGCACCGTGTCCCTTTTAAGTCACTGTGGGCTCTCAAGCCATTGGTGGTGTGTGGACAGCGCCGCTAGCCTTGGCCAGGATGCCACATTGGGTGTCTCCTCCAGGACCAGGCTCTCTTGGCTCCTTTGTTGTAGGCTTCTCCCCGGTTCCGGTTTTGGGGGATTCTTGTCTGTGCTGTGTTGAGTGTTTCCTTACCTGCACAGGCCTCAGCGATGAGGAAGACCAGAAGCCGGTACGGCTGCCCCTGAAAGTGCCTGTGGAGCTGCAGCCACGCAATAACCACGCCTGGGCACGTGTGCAGAGCCTGGCCCAGAACCCCCGGCTCAGGTGATGGCTGAAGCAGAGACCCTGGGACCGGGTGGGGCTTGCTGGGCTGAGTGCTGTGGGCTGGCTTGGAGCCAGTCTCCCCTTACATGTTCCTGTTTTCTGATCAGACCACCCTATGTGACCCCAGATGGCATTGGTGGGGTGGGGGTGGGTGCGTGGGCCTACAGGCCAGGTGTCCCCTAGGGTACACAGGGCTGCTTTGTTATTTCTCATAGCTCCACGTGAGTCTGAAGTCACGTTGGAAGCGGGGTTCATTTAACACAGAGCAGTAGTATACTGGCTCCCGCAGGCTCCTGACTGCTGTTTGTCCACATCTGAATTGTGACCTCAATGTTGCCATGGCCACCAAGGGCTCTCAGGAGGGTCTTCCGCCTTGTGCTGATTGTGCGCCCTCTCTGTAGGATGATCGTGGAGTTGCACCGTAAGGTCTCCAGCCTCATAGAGTTCCTGAAGCAGAAGTGGGCGCTCCACGAAGTGCGCGTCGTATCCTTTCCTGAGGAGGCTGGGGGATGGGCAGGGGGCGCAGCAGTGCGCTGGAGCTGGATGGAGTGGACCCAGGAGCCCGCATCCCTCTGGGCTCTGGGTACTGAGCCCCGTCTGCCTTCCTTGTGGTGCCAGAATGTGCTTGCAGACAGCTGGCCCATCCTCAGCCCCTAAGCAGTAGACTGAGGCCTGACTTTGGCCCAGCCGCCTGTGTCCCTGATGGGCAATGGGCAGGCCGGGCTCTCCGCAGGGTGTGCCTCTTGGGAATGCCTGGTTGGTGTCTGGTCAGAGGGCATGACTCAGGTCCCATCTCGGGCATGGCCAGAGCGGTGGGCGGAGTGTGGCAATGTGGTCCTTGACGGGCATGCGCAGCGGAAGACGCTGGAGGAGCGGCAGCTGCAGGAGCCTGTACGGGCCCCCGAGAGGGTGACGCTGCACCTCTTTCCTGGCGAGAACTGCACGGTGACGCCGCTGCCTGGAGTGGCGAGGGTGGTGCACTCCAAGGCCTTCTGTACCGTGCATTGGCAGGAGAGCGGCCGCTGCAAACAGGGTGCCCGTGACCTCCATGCGCTGCCACCCGCCCAGATCCTGGGCATCCAGAGTGGCCAGGGCACTGCCAGGGGCCAGGTCAAGTGCCCCCGGGGGACAACTGAGGGCAAGGCTGGCGGACGGCCCCCCATCATCACAGATGCCTCACAGAGCTCTGGTGAGAGCTCTCCAGAGAGTGGCCCTGGGGAGGGGGCCACCCCAAGTTTGAGCAGCCCCGATGCCCCTGACAGACTCCCGACTGGGCTCCCAGATGCTGCGGGGGGCTTGGACAAGGGCCCCATGGACAGCCTCGCTGAGTCTCTGGGCCCCAGGCCCACAGAGCCATGTGCCTGCGGCCAGCCCCCAGACCTGGAAGAGGAGTTGTCCCTCCTCGACCCCTTCCCCCGCTACATGAAGTCCTGCCAGGACCTCATCATCCCTGACAAGTGCCGCTGCCCAGACTCGGGAGTGGGGGGCGAGTGCCCACCCCCTGAGGGTCGCACCTCCCCTGAGGCCCTTGCCCCCAACTCCCTGGAGGCCACTGACCTGGCTCAGGGCCCTTCCCCTCCCCGGCTGGAGCCGGACAGTGGTGGCGCCAAAGACCAGGCCGAGGCTCCTGCTGAGGAGCCGCCCGAGAAGGGGAGCGGGCCGGACAGCACGTCCTTACTTCAGGGCCAGCCGGCCAGCCGACTGGCCCAGCAGGTGCGTGAGGAGGGCTGGAACCTGCAGACGTCTGAGAGCCTCACGCTGGCCGAAGTCTACCTCATGCTGGGCAAACCTAACAAGCTGCAGCTGGAGTACGACTGGCTGGCCGAGCAGGGCCCTGCCGCCCCCGCCGTCCCCACCGCCCCCGCTGTCCGGCACAAGCAGCGCCTCCTCAGCTGCCTCCTAAAGCTCATTGCCACTGAGGTCAACCCCAAGCTGGTGAGTGAAGCCCCGTCAGCGTCCAAGGAGCACAGGCAGGGCTGAGGTCAGAAGAGAGAGAAGGTCCTGTGGCAGGGAGCCAGGGGGCCAGGGGATGGCCATGAGCCGGGTCTCTGGACCCTTCCCCAGGGCTATGGTTCGTGCTAGGCTACTCTGTAATGACTGTGAAGGAGACTGTGACGGAGCAAGGTGGTCAGTAGGCCCCAGCCAGGTGGGCTTCTGGATCCGCAGCCGGGATTCAGGCTGAGCCTAGGCTGGAGCATGTCCTAATGGACTCAGTGATGGACCAGAGGAGCTGCGGCAGGGGTTGGGCCATTGGGGCTCTGTGTGAGGGCCTCAGGAACCATGGCTGGGGTTCAGGTTCTGTTTGAGGGTGGAGCTTGGTGTGAAGGAAGGATAGGGTGAGGTGGGCACTCTGCCCGCCATCTTGATGATCTTGCACTGTGTTGGTGAGGTGAGGAGGGGAGCGGAGCCAGGGGCTCTGGTGTGAGCTCAGGTGCAGGAACTGTGGGTTGGGGACTGTGGGGATGTCTGGTGTCCGGGGTCCCTTCACCGTGGACCGCTCAGATCCGGGCATATAGAGATCTGAGTAAATAGGAACGTGGAGGCCCTGGGGCCGAGGAAGGGAAAGGCAGACTCGTGCAGTCAGGAGCTGAGGTTTCTGTGGGAGCAACGCATGCGCGCGTGTGCGCCCGTGTGGTCTGTGCAAGCATGCGAGCTGCAGGGGTGAGACCAGGTGTCTAGGGCCGTATGTGCACACATGTGTGTGCACATGGTCTGCAAACGTGAGCTGCAGGAGTGGGGCCAGGTGTCCAGAGCCATGGGCGCATGCATGTGTACATGTGTGTGCACATGTAGTCTGTGCAAATACATGAGCTGCAGGAGGGAGGCCGGCTGTCCAGAGCCATGGGCGCATGCATGTGTACATGTGTGTGCACATGCAGTCTGTGCAAATACGCGAGTTGCAGGAGGGAGGCCGGCTGTCCAGAGCCGTGTCTGTTCTGCAGTCAGACCCTTGTTGGACCGGCGGCTCACATGGACAGTGGTTTTTTTCCAAGGGCACTTTTTGATGACCCTGGTGGATCCTGAGATTTGGAGGGTCTTGCCCAGGGGACAGGCACATGATCTCTTTGTGCCTAATGGGCACTATGCCTGTGACCATTCCCTGTTGCTGTCCCAGGCTCCAGAAGCAAACACTGTCTCTGTGGCCTCCTCGAAGCCTGCCCAAGAGGAGCAGCCACTGCCCCCAGCCGGGAAGGTGATGGCCGTCAGCTCACGGAGCCCCCGCTGCCCCCGTGGCAAGGCCTTCCCTCCACACACCACTCCCTGCCCTTCAGGTGAGGCTGCTTGCCCGCATGGGGTCAAGGGGCAGGGTTTACCACTTGCTGTGGAGAGGGAGGAGGTCCATTGGAGGGCTTTAGTTCCAGGGGACCAGGGGAGGGTGGCTGTGGCCAGTCTGACAACCCTGGGGACTTTGTACAGTGTCCCACATTAATGACTTTGAGCCCCAAAGTGGTCATTTTTCCTGAGTCTCCAGTGGCTGGTTTTGTTGATGTCCTTTGAGGAAGGCGGCGGGGGGCGGCCATCTCTAGCAGGTCACATGAGTCTTGGAAAGAAAGTCGGAGGATTTTGTCCCCTCTTGGCTCCTGTCCCCATTGCTGGCTAGGTAGTGATCACCTGCAGATCCCTAAGTTGGACTCCCTGTCCTCAGAAGCAGGGAAAAGTTGACACATCCCCAAGGTCCCCAAGGCCTCAGCTTTGGGCCTTTCATGTTTCTTTAAGAAACCAGGTGGTCACAGAACACTGGGCTCTGCAGGGACGGCCTCAGGCCAACAGGACACGTGACAGTGCCTTGGCAGTGCCTGGTGGAGTCAGGACGTGGGCACTCTTTGTGCTGTTCAGGAATGAAGTCCGGCACTGACTGATGGCGCTGGGCCTCGTGCTGACCACGTGCCCCTGGTGCCCCTCACAGCAGCACTGTCGTCACCTGTGCTGCCGGACTTCAGGTGCTTCAGCTGGGTGGGACGTCAGCACCCTAATTGTAGTTGAAACATACAGCACAGCCCCCTGGCTTGTTGCTCATTCTCCAGGTGACGTCAGCTATTTTTGCTTTAATGTTTAGCGATGATCTAAGGACAATTGTTTTGGGGCTTCATCCAGCCTCCATGGCTCCAGAAATTCTGGATTCCAAGGAAAGTATCTTTTCTTCATTTGAGATACAGGAAGTCCTTTGTAACGGTTGAATAGGTGGCTGGAGAATCTCGTGTTTCTGATTTGCTTCTCAGAAGAGCTCTGCACCCCACTCCCCAAACCTGGTGGGGCTTGGGCTGCTGACTCCTTTCCTGCCTCCTAGGTATGAGGAACCCCCCAAGGCCCCTCCTGGTGGCCGGAGCCTCTGGCACAGGAAGCAGTGACGCTGACGGCGGTCTTTTTGCCGTGCCCACAACTCTGCCGCCCAACAGCCGACATGGGAAGCTCTTCTCTCCCAGCAAGGATGCTGAGCTGACCTTCCGCCAGCACCTGAACTCGGTCAGCGTGAGTGCTGGGCCCCACACCCCACCAGTCATGTGGCCATGCTGCTGGGCAGGCCCCTCAGGAGCGGTGCCATTGCCTTTGCAGATGCCGTCCGACTTCTTCCTTCCCAAACCCCGGAAGCTGCGCAACCGGCACCTGCGGAAGCCGCTGGTGGTCCAGGTCAGAAACCCATTTCCAGTGTGCCATCTGTTCCAAATGTGGTGGTGGCCAAGAAACACAAGAACGATGGTGACATAGGCGATTACTGAGGGCACACTCCAATCCCCATGCACCCCAGACAGAGGCAGGGCTCTTTGATGTCTGACAAACAAAGGGGCTCCACGCCAGGGCCCTGGACCTCCAAGGCCATCTCAGCAGACATTACATAACAGTGACTTACCAAGGACAAGTGAGCCGGTAGCAAGCAAGAGTGTGTCCTATTCATTCTCAACAAGAGCCAGTTCCCCTCGTGGCTCACTGGTTTCTTCTAGGTCTCAAGTCCTCCTGGTATAAAATGGACGACGTTCCTGCCCCTTCTTTCCTTAGGACTAGGGTACATAAAGTACAAACAGGGAACTGGACCATATCTTATGTAACTGGACCATTACATAAAGGTAATGTTTGCACAGCATTGAAAACTGCTTGCAAGATAAGACAAAGTTCAGGGGAATTGAATCCCAAGAACATTCCAGTTCTGGGTCTGTGTGAAGACTTCTTGGAGCATCTCTCTATAAATATTGAGGTAGCAGAAGTTGGCACTGGGCTGTGGGTCAACCAGTGGCGAACTGCTGGGGGACTCATAGGTGCCTTCTGTAAATCAGAGGTGACGTCAGCAATGTGGAGCCATGAGAAAGAGCCACAGCAGTGGGACTAGAAAGTGCTCAGCTGCTCACAGAAGGTCGGCAGTTCGAACCTTGCAGCTGCTTGTCAGGAGAAAGATGAGGCCGTCTTCTTCTGTGACGCCCGACAGCCTTGGAAAGCTTGTGGGTTGTGGTTCTACTCTGTGCTAGAGAACGGCTCCGAGTCAGAATCGACTCAAATACAGCGGGGTCGGGTTTGGTTTGGAGGCATGAGAAAGGAGTCGTGTCTACTTTGAGGTACAAACGGGTGACGATGTTTCCCTTTGGTCTGCACTAAGCTGAGCGTCATCTCTTTGAGACTGGTTTATTCGGAAACGAGAGGCTGCGTGAAGGGTCCCAGGAAGGAAGCCGCCTTCTAAATGCCAGGCGGGTGTCCTTATGTATGCAAAGGTCTGCTGAGGGAGCTCACAAACTGTGGCCCGTGGCTCCACTGACTGGTTCTTGTTTTATTTCTAAATCATTTTTCTGAGCCATCTTTTACATTCTGTGTATTATGATTCGTGGTTTTGACTGGCTGAGTGGCTCAGCCTTCACCATCTGTCTAACTGGATTGGTTCCTATCACCCCACAATAGAAGCCGTGTGCCCCTTAGTGGCCCCTCCTTGGCCCCATTCCCCAGCCCAGGCCAGTCAGGGCTTTTTCCTTGCCCTCCTCTTGCGCGGGGTCACATTGTTTTCTTCTCCCCACCTTTGAGAAGGCCTGCAACAGGGGTGTCTCAGAAGCGGCCCTTCTGGTGGCTTCAGACAGATTGTGTGGTAGGAACCCCCACGAAGAGCATCCTGGGTCAAAGGTGACTCTTCCGACCTTGGCTCTGGCTATGATGGGCATGGCCTCAGACTGTCCCACTGTCTTGTGCCCCCTGGTCACATCAGTCCCTTGGATTCCGAGTGTCCTTCCCTAGCACAGTGACGTCCCTTTAAGCCCTGATTGTTTGTGCCTTTTTTCCACAGAGAACACTGCTGCCTAGACCGTCTGAGAGCCAGGCTCACAATGTCTGCTCCTTTTCCATCCTGTCCAACTCCTCCATCGCTGGTAAGGGCTGTGGGTCCTCCATGGCCGCTCGGCAGGCACCCTGGCATGCACGTGGCCTCGTCTTTGGGAACTGGCAGCCATTTATCCCTGTGACCCTGAGGGACACTTCAAGTGTCCCTGTATTCACTCGAACACACACTGTGTGTGTTGGGTCCCACTGGCTGTCCTTGGACCTTCTGGTGGTGTCTGCGATGGGTGGGTGCCTGTCTGTTGTAGAGCATCTACCTTAGCTGTGGACTGTGTTTTGGGGTGCACAGAGCATACTGGGAGAAGACCCTTGGTCTAGTGAGGGCTCCGCCTCTTTGGGCCAAGTCACCTACACTAAGGATCCTTGTGTGACGCTCACTGGTCTCAGCTTTCACCTTAGACATTGGCAGGAACTGGTGGGAGCTGCTTCAGGTTTTCAGGGCCTTTGAATTCTCTGGTCCAAAGTCATTCTGTGCGCACACAATGGGGGTGCCTCACGGCATGCTCTGAGTTGTTACTAGTCACCTGTGAAACTGTTTCCTTGGGAGCCCTGGTGGAGCAGGGCTTAAGCACTCGGCAGTCTGCTTCTGTGACATATGATTGCCACCGAGTCCCTGGAGCTGCCCTGCCCAGCCCTCCAGGGTTCCTGTCCGCTGACCCAACAGCAGTGGGTTTGGACTCTGAGGCGTTTCCTCCCTCACTGCTTATCCCTGTCATCCCCTCACCGAGCCTCCCCTCCTGGTCCCATCTTCATAGGATCCAGACTCTGCCTGGGGTTCTGTGAGTGGACTCCACGGTTAACTCCACTGTCTGCTTCTCTCTTGGATATGTGTCTGTAGCGTGGTGGTGCTGTGGATTAAGCACTGGCCTTTAAACTGCAAGGTCAGCAGTTCCAGCCTACCTGCTGCTTCGTGGGATTCTGTTCATGCAAAGATTAATAGTCTTGGAAACCCTGTACAGGTTTTCTGTGAGTCAGAAGTGATTCACGGCGCTTAACAACAGCAAGCCTAGGGTTGAGTGTTGGCTTGCAGTTGAGACCCACGAGTCTCTCGGAGGGAGAAAGATGAGGCAATCTGCTCAGGCTAAGACTGACGCCTCGGAGACCCCAGGGGGCAGCTCTGTCAGCCCCGGTTACTGTGCACTGGAGTCAGCTTGCTGGCCGTGAGTTAGTGGGTAAAGCCAAACAGCTGCCGTAGGTTTTGTTCCTGTGTAGTAAGGAGAGACAGTGAGCATCCAGAGCAGAATCCGGGGTCCAGGGTCCAGGGTTCAGGGCTCGTCCCCAGGAGTGCTGCTGTGGGGGATGTGAACAGTACTGCACCCTCTCGGCAGCGTG